TATTTTTTTCTTATTATCTGAAAATGTTCTAGGTTTATGGGATAAAACTGATTAGTATATAAGTATAAATTGGTTTCTTCATTAGATAGTATCTTGGTCTTTGAAAACAAGATACCTTGGGGCTGGCATTGTGGTGTGGTGGGCGAGGTTCCCGTTGTAGGACTGGAATCCCATTTGGGCGCTGTTTTGAGTTCCAGCTGCTCTACTTCTGGTCCATATCCCTGATAATGTGCCTGGTAAGACAGTGGAGGATGGTCCAAGCGCTTGGGTCCTTGCACCTGAAGTGGGAGACACCACCCAGCTCTGGATGTTGCAGTCACTTGGGGAGTAAATCAGCAGATGGAGGACCTCTCTCTCTCGCTGTGTCTCTCCCTTCCTCTCTCTGTCTCTCTCCCTCTCTGTAACTCTGCCTTTCAAATAAATAAATAAATCTAAAAAAGAAAGAAGAAAGGAAGGAAGAAAATAAACCTCAGATAATAATTTTGCCACCAGAAGGAAGCTTACAAAAATCTTAGGTCCCAATTTCCTCAATGTAGTCATTTCAATAAACTGGAATGGGAACCCAGGTGTATTGGTTTTCTATTTCTGTAAGAATTTATGCAAAATGTAGTGACTAGAACAATACAAATTTATTATCTTATAGTTGTGTAGAATCAAAGTCCAACAGATCCAACTGGATCACAAAGTATCTGCTCAGCCTTGTTCCTTTCTAGAGGCTCCATGGGAGGATCCACTTCTGTGTTATGCACAGTTTGAGAAAACATGTTCCTCATGACACCCTCCCCTATCCTCAGTATATCCTGATTAAATCTCCATGACTCATTCTCTGCCCTGCAATCTGGAAAAGATTCTTCACATTCAAGAACCCATGACATTCAATTGGGACCACAAAGATCAATCCATCAGAAGCTCTTTGTCTCAAAGGTTGGGGTCCTAGACACATCTGCAAAGTCATTTTTGCCATGGAAGGCAATGTACTAACAGATTCCAAGAATTCGAACAGGCACATCGTTGGGGTACAATTATCCCTATCTACCATGCTGGGATTCCTAGCAATACTCTAATTTGTGTGCATGGGTGGTATACAGAAAGAATTTGCTACTGAAAAGGCATGGGGAAAGGAGACACTGGAGGTAGACAGATATTCTAAATGATATTTCCTCCTCTTGGCAAAGAGGTCCAGATGTGGAGCAGTAGTGGTGAAAATGGCAGGAATGGGAAAGATGATGAATTAATAGAGTTCAGTGTTGATTTCGGTTAGGTTTTATGAGCTAAATTTGAGAAAATGCAGCCTTGTGGTGAGGGCCATCTCTGAAGCATTAATATTGACAATTCACATCTGAATGTAGTTTTTTTACATAACATTTTTAGGTAAATAATCTAGAATTTTTTTCTTAAGTATGACATTTATTAGCTCCTAGAATATTTTGGTTCTGTGTTAATGACTGGAGAAATGAGGTCCAATTAACTAGGGATAAAAAACGGAATCTCAGGGAGAGCTGTATATCTGGAAGATGTATCAATGTCAAGATTTGTTTGGAAGGAGATCATGAGATCTTTTGGGGGTAAAAAGGTTTTCTAAGATAGGAGGTAAAATTAATATCATACAAAGAAGAGGAGATGAAGGGTTGGAGGATTGGTTAAGCAAACACAAATATTAACTTCTAAAATGTAAAAAAGTCTCTTAAAAGCAATCTGAACGTGGGGTAATAAAACCTAAATTAGAGATGCCCTGATTTAAAAGAGGTTACATGAGTTAGATTTAGTCTGGAAAAAAAAAAAAAAAGAATAGGTTAGCATGAACTAAGCAAAGGACATTGTGCCACCTCTTCAGACCAGCACCCTACACCATCATTGTGTCTTAGAGACTTGCACTCTCTGGAATATATTTATTCTGACATGCTCTTACTTTCCTGACTTGAGATTTCAGAGTTAATTTATCCAGAGAAAAGTTGGCCTGACTCTTCTTTGTGAACCTTGGCAAGTTTTGAGTCTGTTGGTGGTATGGCTGTGGGCCCAATCCTCATCTAGTGAATGTAGTCAGTGACTGCATGTTCTTGGTATGCAGGCCTGTTTATGCGTACCAGAAAAAGAACTTCGACATAAAGGAAAAAGCCTTTAAGGTATTTGAGTCTTACAACTACTGTTAAATGTGAGGTGGGCTACCTCCTTATTACCGCACAGGTTTCTCTAATTTTGTTAATAAAAGCCAGATTCCCATTCCTGTAGTTATGTTGTGGCAATGATGAGTAAGAAGTGGAGAGAGCAGATGTGCAGAAACTCAATGAATAATAATTCTTGTCCTTCAGTACTAACTAGTTTTAAGTGCTCGCTATTGAACAATAATGAAAAGTGGCTGAAATCTTTGCTAATTTGTTAATTCTATGTGGCTCAGGTAAACGGTATTCCTTAGAGAGCCATTAACACTAGCACTCTACCTTTCTGGAATTAAATCAGAAGTTCAGATGCAGACAGTATCTTCAAAAAATTAAACACCTTTAAAAACTGAAAAAAAAATGTCGTTCAAATATCCAGATGTTTGACCATATGGTGCCAAACATCTGCATATTCATTCTACATTCAACAAGCTTTTACTGAAATGTTTGAAAAACTATGTACTGGTGAACTAATTCGTAGAACATCAGACCTGGAAGGGGGCCGAGAGGCCATCTAGTTTGTACATTTTCGAGCTGACAGTGGAGTGAAGATAGCTTTGTCCAGTGATGGAAAAAAAGATGAATTTGGTAAAGTAATTTTTACTGAATTCTGTTCGTTTTGATTATGTTTGCTGTCAGATAGATATAGTTATGCTCCTCTTAATTTTTAATAAAAAAGACACGGATGTAATTTCTCAGAGTCTTCAGCTGGCCTCAGAAGGGAAGAGATAAAAGCCGTGTTTCATTTACCAGGGAAGTGCTTCCACTTTTCCAGGACAAATGTTCATTACCAGAGTCTACATATGAAAGCAATTTAGAGTGCCTATCAGAGAGAAGCCTATTAGCTAAGTTCTTTGTACTAAATTAATGGGAGAGCTTCAAGGCTAATGAGACTAGAATATCATTGCTTTCACTTGGCATGATCTTCCTGGCATCTTTATATTCTTAAAATGCATTATATTGCTATGAAGCCACTGCCTCATTTCTTCAAATGATTTTATGAATTCTGAAGATCATGAAAACAACAAAAACAAAGGAATTATCCTTGTCATCTGTGCCACGCAAACCAAATGATATCTAATCCTGTTCACTTAAATACTTTCAGTATCCAGTTTATGAAAGTTATATATAGTGATGTTTCTTAAAATTCCAAAAGTGAACCAAATGATCTGGAAAAATATAGGCTATTTTTCTAAAAACATTACTAACTTCAATGTTATTCCTTCAATATCAGAAGCTTAATAATTATATGTTCCACAAATCAGTTTTCAGGTATTTATTGAAGATAAACCATAAGTGCAATTATGTTACAAGAATGCAGTGCACCGAAGGATGTGAGAGAAATATGTTATTTTCCCTTTTCTTGTCTTTACAGTCTAGACAGAGAAACTAGATTCAGATAAAATTAGAGAGTAATAAAAAGCCTTATAATTTGGTTCCAAATTGTGCATTTTGAACTTCAGAAACTTGGTGTTGAAATAAATTAAAAATGTTTGGCAAATAATTTTAGATTTCACGTTTATGTGTGTTTCTTTCAGCAGAGAGTGCTAAATTTACCCAGTGTGGAAAATGACAGAATATCCATCTAGGTTTGATTCCTGACACTTCTATTTGCATTTATATAATCTTTCAAATTGATGGATCACAATTAAAAATAGTAAGATTCACTATGACAATTATAGTTGGGAAGGTAACAGGAAACTAATTATCATTTGTTTAGCATTTAAAATTGCCAGATATTTTCCATTGGTTTTTTCATTTGGTTCTCAGAATAGTCTTATGAAGAAATACCTGAGAACCAGAGAAATAAACTAATTTTTCAAAGATTAAACAGTATGTAGAGGGTCAACATTAAAATCCAGATCTATTTCAGATGCAGTATTCTATTACAGCTCACTCATGATTAATTGTCATGTATCATGTTGTGGATACTTGAGTATTTAAAAATACAATTAGCTCATAGTTGCAATGAAACTCTGAGAATAAGCGAGATGAGATAAACATAAGCTTAACTTTGCCATTGATTCAATGAATGTGTTTTGGCCACTTAAACTGTACCTTCTGATTTATAAAAGAAGCAAGACAGAAAATTTAGGTTGGTCATTTGGAAAATTCATGGCTTCCAATTCAAATGATTGCCTGAGTCTCTTCTGAAATGACAAATTGTAGTAACTAAACTCATCCATATGCCAAAGGGATAAGCATATTTCAATTCAAAACTCAAAATTAATATAATGTACTTCTGTATCCATTTGATAACTAAATCTAAATAACAAATATGTTCATTCTGTCCATTTTGATAGTACATCTATGAAGTTATAGAAGTAGGGGCATATTATTTCATAAGAAATTCTCAAATATTTACAAAATAATATTTTCCTATTTTAGATTTTGACTTTTTTAAAATGGAAGCAACATTCTTTCCAAATTTCTAAATATTTATTTACTTATTTATGTAGTTGAAAAGCATAGCTAAAGAGACAGAGACAGGCTGGCACCTTAGCTCACTTGGCTAATCCTCCACCTGTGGCGCCAGCACTCCGGGTTCTAGTTCCGGTTGGAGTGCCGGATTCTAGTCCCAGTTGTTCCTCTTCCAGTCCAGCTCTCTGCTGTGGCCCCGGGAAGGCAGTGGAGGATGGCCCAAGTGCTTGGGTCTCTGCACCCGCATGGGAAACTGGGAGGAAGCACCCGGCTCTTAGCTTCGGATCGGCGTAGCGCCAGCCATGGCGGCCATTAGGGGAGTAAACCAACAGAAAGAAGACCTTTCTCTCTGTCTCTTTCACTGTCTATAACTCTCTCTCTCTCTCTCTCACTAACTCTGCCTGTCAAAAAAAAAAAAAAAAAAAAAAAGAGAGAGAGAGAGAGAGGGAGAGAGACAGATCAATCACTGCACCTGCACCACTGATTTACTCCTCAATGCTCCCAACAGTCAGGGCTGGGACAGGCTGAACCCAGGAGCCTGGAACTCCATGTCTACCATTCAGGTGGCAGGGATCCAAGCACTTGACCACCATCTGTGCCTCCCACATTGCATTAACAAGAAGCTGGCTTAGAAGAGAAGTAGCCTGACTTGTACAGGCACTCAAACAGTTGTTTAACCAGTTGCACCATGATGCCCTCCACTTAATTTGAGTTTTTAAAAGTGTATTATTTTAAGACTTACCTTTTCTAATGAAATCTACCTAGGATGCATTGCAAATTTATCAGGAAATAAAGGTAATAACAAAAATAGATCTTATTATTAAAATTTGAAGCAATATATAAATCTTTCTTTTGAATAAAGACTTCTGTCAATCATCCAGTATGTAAATGGAACAATAAATATCAAATAAGGATTCAATTTTGAGAGCACTTACATGCTCATCATTCTTACATCTCATTCTATCGCTAAAATCAGAGATACCTTTTGTGTTTATTTTGACAATATTTTTCTCATTTTTTTTTTGACAGGCAGAGTTAGACAGAGAGACAGAGAGAAAGGTCTTCCTTCCGTTGGTTCAGCCCCCGATGGCCGCTATGGCCAGCGTGCTGGGCCGATCCGAGGCCAGGAGCCAGGTGCTTCCTCCTGGTCTCCCATGCAGGTGTAGGGCCCAAGCACTTGGGCCATCCTCCACTGCCTTCCTGGGCCACAGCAGAGAGCCGGACTAGAAGAAGAGTAACCAGGACAGAACTGGCGCCCCAACTGGGACCAGAATCTGGAGTGCCGGCGCCTCAGGTGGAGGATTAGCCTAGTGAGCCGCGGCGCCAGCCGATATTTTTCTCATTTTAAAACTATTTAAATACTTTATAATGAAGACTAATTTCCTGTCTCAGCTTTAGTATATTTTGCCAGAATGTCCCAAGTCCAACTTCAAATAACAAAGCTATGATCCTAAAAGAGATCTCCATGAGTCACTTTTTCTTATCCCATCCCTGTGTCCAGTCATTCTCCACCCTGGCCAGTCTTTACCTCCCCTATTTAACTGGTCACTTAGTCCACCAGTAAGCCATGTTCCAAGACTAGAAAAACAACACATTTCTGACTCAATAATATTCTTCCTGTTTACAATAAAAAATCTGAAATTAAAGTTTCATACTTGGTATTTCAGTCTATTGGTCTCACAACAATTTGAATTATCCATGCCTAGTTCCTAAATAATAAATTATTGTTTCTTATCTCTATAGTCCCCTTTCTAGTTTAACAGATATTCTTGCTTTGACCTGAGAATGTTTTAACACTCTGTCTTTCATACTACCCCCTCAAAAATATAATTACTATGAGTTGCACAACCACAGAAATTCTACAAACTCAATTCTTTGTACGATGCTAGTTATTTTTAAAAGGAAGGATAATTCATTTCTTTCTCACACCTTTATTATAAATTTTAGTGATTAGGATGTGGTTAGTGAGAGAGAGAGGGAGAGAGAGAAAGGCCTTCCTATTTGCCGTTGGTTCACCCTCCAATGGCCACCACGGCTGGCGCGCTGCGGCCGGCACACCGCGCTGATCCGAAACCAGGAGCCAGGTGCTTCTCCTGGTCTCCCATGGGGTACAGGGCCCAAGCACTTGGGCCATCCTCCACTGCCTTCCCGGGCCACAGCAGAGAGCTGGACTGGAAGAGGGGCAACCGGGACAGAATCCGGCGCCCCGACCGGGACTAGAACCCGGTGTGCCGGTGCTGCAAGGTGGAGGATTAGCCTAGTGAGCTGCAGCACTGGCCGACTTTTCAGTTAAATTTCAACACCTAAGAATAAATGTGTGTTAATTACATAGTTCAACCAATAGTATTAACTAGAACAAAGAAAATACTAAAAGGGATAAAGTATTAAATTGTACATCAACAGTCAGGACAAGGGCTGATCAAGTCACTGTTTCTCATAGTGTCCATTTCACTTCACCAGGTTTCCTTTTTGATGCTTGGTTAGTTATCACCAATCAGGGAGAACATATGATATTTGTCCCTTTGGGACTGGCTTGATTCAGTCAGCATGATGTTTTCCAGATTCCTCGATTTTGTTGCAAATGACTGGATTTCATTGTTTTTTACTGCTGTATAGTATTCTATAGAGTACATGTCCCAGTGATGTAAATTTTAAGTGTAATATAGTTCTCCTTTTAAAAAGATGTATTTACTTATTTATTAGAAAGGCAGACAGAGAGAGACACAAACAGATCTTCTATCTGCTGGTTCACTCCCCAAATGTCCACAGAAGCCAGGCCTAAGCCAGGAGCCAGGAAATCTATCCTGGTCTCTCATGTTTTGGCAGGGACAAAAGTACATGGGCCATCATCTGTTATTCTCCCAGGCTTATTATCAAGAAATCAGGTCAGAAGCAAGCAGGCAGAACTTGAACCAGCACTCCAATATGGTATGCTGATGTTGCAAGCAGTGGCTAAACTCACTGTGCCATAATGATGGCCCTTTTAAGTCTATTTTTGCCACCCGTCGTATATACTTTGGTTGCATTTTAATTTATTTATGTCCCTCCTTGCTTTGTCTCCCAAAATTCGACAGCCTACAAATGCATATAACACAAAGTAAGATGAAAGTAAAAGTGCAAAAGGTGAAAATGAACTAAGAGTGCTTAGGAATCAGGTTATGTCAAAAACATAGATCATGAACACCTCCTGTTCCAGGTGCTATGCTTTATCATAAACCAAAGTCTATGGGGGGAGTCTGGTTATTAAACAACCCACTGTATTATGGAATTAAATTAAAAACAATTATAAAAATTCAGAAGAAGCAAACCAATAATGATACAAATATTGTCAGAACCCCATGAAAGATAATCAGTCTCAACAATATCCTTACTTGACATCGAATTTTCAAAAACTTGTTTCCAATGCTTGCCTTCAACAAATATCAAAGGCATTCAACAGAATGTATTAAAATAAAAGGAGTGGTACTAGGTAACACAATTACATGACTGAAGTATATTGATCTTGGGAGTCAAAGAGAACACAGACATAAATTTTAAAATATCAGGAAGAATACCATGCATTATATTTCATAGAACAGTGCAACTCCAAATACCACCAATACACTGATTTGTATGATATAGATTGATTGACATATTTTTGTCTATTTTTATATCTGTTAAAATATAATATTATGGGTTTAGAATGGAGAACAGTGTCCACATTTGTTATTAAAACTGTCATAGTGTTGTTTTAAGAATGCACACATATTTGAGTTGAGTAAGTATTTTCCAAAGCCCTGGAGTTTAAATCCTTAATATTGTTTCTTTCATAGATACCTATTCAAATTATAACAGTCCAGGAATCTAACAGGTCAAAAGGATTTCATAGATGAGTTTATATAGATAAGTGGGATCTCACAAAGCTCCCATTAGTATGCACATGCAAAAAAAGCAATGTGTTGTTCCATAAATACTTTAGATGATACAGGGACATACGAAAACACAGGATGTCTGGGAATGTCTACACTGGTGAAATCAATTGAGGTATGTTAGAGCAAGAGAACCCTTATGGCCTGCAGATAGCTAATTTGTAGCTGTTTCTGATTTGAAAACTGGAGTAGACTTTTAATTTATGATTGAAAAGATTACATTCACCTTTGAAAGCTTAGGTAAATTAGATTGCCCCCAAGTCACCCTTGAAAAGTACCATAACCACCACCATCAGTTCAATTTGTAAAATGGATCCAATGAAAGAGTCGCTAGGGGCACATCATCACAAAGCTAGCCCTTAAATTAGGTATAAATAAGTACCACCAATACCTCCAGTAGGCAAATTAATTTCAAAGTGCAAGGATTTCTATCGAGCATTCTGTTCAAAAGTTCAACTCAATAATGCCAGCAGGACTTGCATAAATGAATCAATTCTAAGACTATGGTAGAAATGGAACAAAGATCACTCTTTTGTAATGGCTGGTATTTCTCTGTGCAAGATACTGTGACACTACTAAAGTGTGTTTCTCTAAAAGAACTTAGAGCCTCTAGCTTCCTGATACTAGATACTGTATATTAAAAAGGCCAGAGAAACCTGAAAGAGGATGAGTAATGTAATTTAAGTCTAACTTCTTAATTTCCTTCCATACTCTAACAAAACCTGCAATAAAGTTATGAGGAAAATAAGCCAGTTGTACAAAGATTTAGAAGGCAGCAATTGGGTCCATGAATTCTCATTAAATTAGTCCTATAAATCATATTCTATAGAATAACTCTGAAAAGCAAACCTTATCTTCTCCAGGAAAACCCACTGTATATATTTAAAACCTCATAAGATTCTATTACTTATGCTGTATATTGTATTAAGTAAGCCCATTTAAAGCATACACTTTAGCTTCCTTAAGCCAATGTTTTTACAAGTTCATGACCATGATAAAATATATTGCTTTTCAGTATAAATATCCTTTATGCCTATCATAACTATGTTCTACCAATTAAATTATACCAACATTTACAGGGCAAGTTTCCCTAGAAACAGAATGTGTTTAATGCCTGCAGTGACACCTACTGGTCATAAAGCACTTAATTCTTAAGGATAACTTGAAAATAATAGCATCCTAGGTCCACACTTTGATTCTCAAGTCCTGAATTCACCATCCACAGCAAATTCTTTCTTTTCATCAGCTACCTCATTTGGTAGCTTTTTGGTAACGTAAGAGACACACAAATAGCATGTTCTTTTAGAGAGTAAAGCTTTGTCATGCAGCAGTTTGTGTTATCTTTGCTGAATATGATGAAGAAATGTTCTTTTTGTTGGGCACAGATTGTCACAAATCATTTCAATCACGCTTATGCAAAACCAGATGTCTCCTCTTACTTAAGATGCTCATAAAAGATGGTGTTTCTGACAATTGGAGAAGAAAAACGTAAGGGAAAGAAGCCTTTTACGTGAATTGTAGATGTACAGAACTGTCACCACTGCTATTGTCCCTAAGAGCCCCTGGATATCTGTATGTTCCATGTTGATGCTGTGGTCCTTTCTTGGGGATGTTGCTCACCTGATAGCTGCAAACTCTATCTATTAATATCCTCAAGGCTTCCCTTCCCAGATACAATCCAATACCACAGTTATATGTGCCATGTCTCTCATCACATGTCTTTTTCTCCACGTCTTTTTTGCCATCTCTCCTCTATAAAAATGCTATAAATTATTTAAAATCCTAAGAAGTTTTCCTGACCACTCTACTACCAATTCTCTCCCTGCCTGTGAGTTCTCATTATTTTTTGGTCTTTATATACTAAAAACACTGTGTATGCTCACATTTAGTCCCTACTATTATATTTATATAATAGAATCCATTTATGTATCATCTACAAAATGCTGGAAAAATGCTATGCTTGATGTAATGACTTTAATTTCATAATGACTATTCAAGTTAGGTATTATGATCTGTTTCTCAGATAAAGAAACTGACACTCAGAGAAATCAGATACCTGTTCATTGCAATAGACTGGCAAAGCTGGGACAGACATTTGGTCTAAGAGTTAAGATGCTGGTTGGGATGCCCACAGTCCATACCAGACCGCTTCGGTTCAAATCCCAGTTCCTCTCCCAGTTAAAGTTTGCTATACATGCTTGGGAAGCAGCAGGTGATGGCTCAAGTAATTTGGTTCCTGCCATCCACATGGGAGGCCTGGGTTGTGCATTTGGGGAATAAACCAGTAGATGGGAGCTCTCTCTGTCTCTGTCCTTCTGCTTCTCAAATAAATGAAATGGGTATTTTTTAAGAGAACCTAACAAAGTTAAGATATTAAAGCAAACCTGTCTTGAGTCCTAAACATCTCTTTCCATTATAACATGTGAGTGTGTTATCTGGAAGTTCTTTGTATCCTATTTCCAGTCCTAGGAGCAGTGAGGAACATCCCATCCTCTGTAGTCTGCCCCAATTCATTTACACAACGACAGCTTTCTAGAAAGTTAGCAAGCTTATATTAGTCAACAGAGTTTCAGCATATCCTCCTGCCTTTACCTAAAGGTTAAGGTTCCTGACTGGTGTGGAACCTATGGTGTTTTTATGGATGGTATCAGCTTCTGGACATAATGCCTGTCTTTTTGTCTCCTTACTGCTTGTGCACTGGCTTACTGAGAGATTGTTCAAAAAGACTGTCTCTCTATGCAATACTACAATTATGGGTCAATCATCATGCATTTTTCCAAACAGATACAATATATAATACCAAGAATGGGCCCTCATGTAGGTTATGAACTCTGGGTGATGGTGATATGTCAATCAATGTAGGTTCATCAGTCCTAACATATAGACAAAAACAACAGAAGTTCCTGTATTCGGATGTGAGGTGTTGATAGTGGGGGAGACTGTGCTTATGTGGAGACAAGATTATCTGGGAACTCTGTATTTTCCATTCATTTTTGCTGGAACCTAATATTTCTTAAAAATAAAGCTTATAACAACAACAACAACAAAGGGGCCAGCACTGTGGTGCAGTGGGTTAACACCCTGGCCTGCAGCACTGGCATCCCTTGTAGGCGCTGGTTCAAAACCCAGCTGCTCCACTTCCAATTCAGCTCTCTGCTATGGCCTGGGAAAGCAGTAGAAGATGGCCCAATTTCTTGGGCCCCTGTACCCGCATGGGAGACCCAGAAGAAGCTCTTGACTTCGGATCGGTGCAGCTCCGGCCGTTGCGGCCGACTGGGGAGTGAACCAGCAGATAGACCTCTCTCTCTCTCTGCCTCTCCTCTCTCTGTGTAACTCTTTCAAGTAAATAAATAAATCTTAAAGAACAACAACAAAAAACCCTCTAATGCCTGGGCCATACCACAGACAGGTAATTCAGAATCTCTGGGGGTCAGCCTTTGAATTGATGTGTGTTTAAATTTCCCCTGGTGACTCTAACATGCAGCCAGCATTGAAAACTGCTGAGCTAGTTTCTCCTGTATTTATGGAATGCCTTTGGTAACCAGGTTGCCTGGTGATAGATGGGGACATGCTTTACTGTAACTACATCATCTAACTGCATTTTCTCCATCCAACACCACTCTAGAGTCATCTCCATGGCAAGTCGTCAGTTTCAGCTTCCTTTATAATGATAATAATAACAAATGTTATATTGTATGTAAAACACATATAATATAATAAATCCGTGTTCCTGACAAGGAACCACATGTACACCTGACATAGCCCACATCACTCATATCATTTCTGGGTCTTTTTCCTATCATTCCCAGCATCTGACTTTTTCTGTGTGTAGTGGAAGATTAGAATTGCCAATAACTCCACTGTGGGTTTGATTTCTGCCTTCAGAAGTGTTCTTCTCTTTTGCCATCATCTTTCATGAAGTCTGTATCTGGATACGTTTACTGAGATCACAAACTTTCTCAAGCATTAGTTGCTGCCATGGGCCATACTAGTATATGCTCCTTCAACAGTTAACCTGAAAAATGTTTCAGTCATCTTTAGCATTCATGAATATTTTCATGGATGCTGGTACCAAAAGCATCATAAATTCTCTGAGTGCATTCTCCATTCATACTGGTATAAACGGAGCTCCTAGTAAGGAATGACATATTCAGTCTCACTTCACTTTAAGAGATTGCCTGGGAATTACAATAGATAGAATTACAAAGCAGAGAAAGTTCCAACACAAGAAGCAGTCCACACAGCAGACTCACAGAATAACAAACACCCTAAACAGCACTCTGACCTCAGAATCAGCCCCTAAGGCCTGACTGAAAACACCATGAGAGCATTTGGGGATTGGAAAAACAAGACATAGTGGCAAAAATGGTTCTGCATGAAGGATCTCTGTGAGTGAAACCCCAGTGGAAAGAAGCGGCAAAGAAGGATGTACTTTTCTCTGAAGGGAGGACAGAAGTTCCATTTTGTATTTGGCCCTGTCTAAAAACCAACGGAGTTTGTGAACTCAAAAGGCTTCCATAGCCTTGGAAGCTCATGTCAAGAGCCTTGGGTGATCACTGACATCATATAATAAGAGTGTCAGTTGTTAAATCAACAACAGGAGTCACTGTGCACTTGCTCCCCATGCTGGACCTGTGTCCTTAATGAGTTGTGCTATGAGAATTAATGGTAAAACTTGTCTTCAAACTGTACTTTATACTTTGTGTGTCTCTGTGAGTGCAAACAATTGAAATCTCTCGGTCGGTGCCGCAGCTCACTTGGCTAATCCTCCACCTGTGGCGCCAGCACCCTGGATTCTAGTCCCTGTTGGGGCACAGGATTTTCCTGTGCAACCTGTCCTGGTTGCTCCTCTTCCAGTCCAGCTCTCTGCTGTGGCCCAGGAAGGCAGTGGAGGATGGCCCAAGTGTTTGGGCCCTGCACCCGCATGGGAGACCAGGAGGAAACTCCTGGCTTCGGATCAGCATAGCGTGCTGGCCACAGTGTGCCATAGCGGCCATTTGGGGGTGAACCAACGGAAGGAAGACCTTTCTCTCTGTCTCCCTATCTCTTACTGTCTAACTCTGCCAGAAGGGAGAAGAGGAGGAAGAAGTGGAGGAGGAAGAGGAGGAGGAAGAAGAGGAGGAAGAGGAGGAGGAAGAAGAGGAAGAAGAGGAGGAAGAGGAGGAAGAGGAGGAGGAAGAGGAGGAAGAATAAGAAGAAATCTCTCCTTAGTAGAGTTGGTCTTCTGTATATAAAGTCAATTAAAAACTATCTTAATGGAAAATGGAACAGGAGAGGGAGTGGGAGGTGGGATGGGAATGTGGATGGAAGGGTGGGAATGGGGGAAAGAAACACTATATCCCTAAAAGCTGTACATATGAAAATCTGTATTAATTAAATAAAAACCTTCAAACAAACAAAAGATTGGAAGCTCTTTAAGGACAGAAGATAGTCCTTATTTGTTTCTACCTCCTCATACAGTGCTTGATAAAACTTATCAAGATATTATTATAAGGAATGAATTAACCTTCCACTTACCTTCCTGAGATTCTGAAGTATGTTTAAAGAATTAATACTACTGCCATTTTAGAAACATGCACTTGGACTATTTTTCCCTTTCGTGACAATGAAAGTTTCCACTAAGTTATGCAAAAGCCTTACTGAATACTCTTGACCAAAGTCAAATTGTGAGAGAGTTACAGAAAGTATGTAGTAAGTTTAGGGTCATTTGTACCTCATTCTAAGCTATCAAATATGAACTCTGGGCTATAACATGTGATTTTATTAACTGTTTCATTTGGGAATAAATAATAAATTACTCATTAAGAGGAAAAGAGATTCTTTTTTGAAAGTAAAACATGGGACCTGCTATTAAGCTCTAATTTTGTCACCACTGAACTTTCTAATCATCTCCAAGTTACTTAATGCTCTCTGTAAACTACTTGTGGAGTTTATTATTGCATATTTTTTGCAATAAGATTTACAGGCCAGATTTATAGGCACATAACAATAATGAAAATCACTATTATTGTTGTTATTGGCATTTTCTTTGCATCACCATAAAATTTTTTAAATGAGGATTTAGCCTACAATTCAAATATGACATTTGTCACCAATCTACATTGCATTTGAAAAAGCTGATAATCTGCTAGATCAGTTAATAGTCTTAAACTACAGCCTTTCATTCCCAGGTATATATTTTTTAGAAGAGAATTGGCCATCATAGCTCAGAAAATATTTTGGCGGTGTCAGAACAGCTCTAATAAAGCAAATTATATGTATTTACCATCCATGCCAATCAGGTAATATCCAAATGTTCCACAGATGTTTTATGAGGAATGGGTGATCTTAGTTTAGCTTTACCTTTGGATCTATATAATTTACACCAATATTCTAGTTCTGAGAGAGCTGTGTAATATCTGTCTCAGGAGTAGAAGAGAAAGCATAGGTCAGCTTCTCTTGATATAGAGCAATCAATCTTAGGATCAGATACTGCACATTTAATATACCCACTGTTGTTTTGATGCTCTCCAAGCAGAAGATTAATATTATGGGATAGGAATGATGCAGTCAGACAGACCAGATGTTTATTTCTGTCTTCTTTTGGCTGTGATTGTTTAAATACAACCTAAAGAAAGGTTTAATGAATACTTGCTGTGGTGATGAAAGTTCCTGCAGTGGTTCCAGGTTTGCATGATTTGAATTGCATTTCAGCCTGATGTCAGGATGCTGGTGGGAGCCCATTAATGCCATTTTATAATACATTCTCTATGTGCCTAATTTGGTATACATTTAACTGTGTGTGTGTGTGTATATATATATGTGTGTGTGTGTGTGTGTGTGTATAAACATAAATGTTTGTGTTTGTTATTTAAGGTATTCCAAGTAAGGTTTAAAGCATTGAGACCATCTGATTTGCATTTTTCAACAAGAACCAACATTTGTATTTATTTATGGAAACATTTTTGGCTTAAGACTTTCTACTAAATTATAATAAAAAGCTTTCTCTATTACCCTGGGGAATCTGGCAATCAGCCTACCTCCTACCCAGATCAGTCTTCCCCCACCCACTCTTGCGTTCTCCCACCCACTACACACATAACTTAAAGCTGTGCTCTTGCCTGGAGCTGGTGTTAAGGAGCAAGAGAAAATTAACCAAGATGGTATGTGGGAACATGGCTGTGAGTCCCTTGATCTATGAGGTCCCTGGAACCCACAGATTGACGATCTATCATTTCAGTGGCTCTATTTTCATTTCCTGTAAAACAGACACAATATATTTTGCATTTATATTTAAAAATGTAATAATATACAAGAAAAGAGTTGAATACAATTATTCTCATGGCCTAAGGCTGGGAAAAACACATACCTATCATTTTAAAACTTTTCTCCTCTACTCCCATCCAGTTTTTCAAGTCTAAACAGGATCAATTACTAGGCCTTCAAATAAACACTGTGATTTAAACATGAAAATATTATTACTACCACTAAGATAATAAGAAAAATAATGCACATATTGAATACTTGACTATCTTCAAAGCTATATCCTGACTTATATGTACACCTAACTTATATCCATAATTTCATCTTACTGTCAAAATTCTAATAGGTGAGTATTACTATAGTGCCCATTTTATAGATGCTATATCTGAAAATTCAACAAGTTAATGTGATTTGTCCAAGATCACATGATTCAAAAATGGGAAACAGGTAATATGATCCAAAAGTATCTTATTGAATTAATTTTTATTTAGATTGATTTATAATTTTTATTTTAAGAATAAATATCTCCCAATAATAAGTCTGTATTTTTAAGTACTAACCATCCTTGTATGCTATTAATAGTAATGAGGACAAGTATATGTATATATATTTTCCCATTGGTTGATCATTAATTGTGTTCAATTATCATATTAATGCTTTAATATCTCAGTTAATCTATATGTCCCTATGAATTGGGAATTTTTTTAAATAACAGGATCTTTAAAAATTATTCTAATAAACTTATTTTTGTTTTATTTGAAAGGCAGAGAGACAGAAGTAGAGAAACATTGAAACACAGAGAGATTTTCCAACTGCTGGTTCACTCCTCAAATGTCCACAATAACCAAGGCTGAAACCAGGAATTGAGAATTCATTTTGGAACTTCTACAGACGTGGAAGGAACACAATTATTTGAGCTACTACCTGCTGCCTCCCATGGTGTGCATTAGTAGGTAACTGGTCAGAGGTGCAAGAACCTGGACTCTGACCTCACACTCCCCTATTACATAATGCAGGTGTCCAAACAGGCTTTTTTTAAGGTGGCATCAAATACTTACCTCCAGGAGGGCATTAGTAACAACACATAGGACCTTTTATCTGCCCACATTGATATGTATTAAGAGGTTTCTTCTGACTAAATTTCCCTGCTGGCATCCATCTCTTCAAGAAATTGATAAGATCAAGAACAAGCAAGATACCAAAATATACAGATGCCTAACCCTTAACATAAAATTATGGTGTATATGCTAGAACCTGTATACATCCTCTCATATACTGCAAATTATTTCTGGATTACTTACGATACCTAATACAATGTACTGCTACATAAATAGTTGTTATACTCTCTTGTTTTGGGAATGACAAGAAAAAAATAAATCTATTAAAAGATATGCATCTTTAGGTTGGAAATTACAAGATTTTTTTTCTTTTTTTTTTAAGATCTTTTAAATTTATTTGAGAGGGAGAGTTATAGACAGAGGGAGAGACAAAGAGAAAGGTCTTCCATCTGCTGGGTAACTCCCCAAATAGCCGCAATGGCCAGAGCTTAGCTGACTCAAGGCCAGGAGCCAGGAACTTCTTCCAGGTCTCCCACGTGGGTGCAGGGGCCCAAGCACTTGGGCCATATAACACTGCTTTCCCAGGCCATAGCAGAGAGCTGGATTGGAAGAGGAGCAGCTGGACAACAAACTGGAGCCCAAATGGGATGCAGGTGCTATAGGTGGAGATTTAGCCCACTATACCACAGTGCTGGCCCCAAGATATTATTGAAGAATATAAGAAAGACTAGATTTAATGGGCAGAAACTATATGCTTATAAAGAGAAATATTAAATTGATAAATATGTACAAATTTTTATCAAAATTGTCACAGAATTTGACTTGGTGCTTGACAAACTGTTACTAAAATTCTTCCGGGAACTAGTGAAAGAATAGCTAAACACATTTTTAAAGAATAGAATACTCATATTCTATACAACTATACAAATCTCCAGTAAAAAATTAATATACAGTAGTAGTGTCAGTGCAGTCAAAGGGGCCAATGAAACAAAGTGGAAAGCTTAGAAAAGGAAACAAGTTCAAAGCCACTTACTAAATTATAGAAATGTCATTATAAATCAGGTGGATTTTTCAATTTTAAAATGGCATGAAAGCAATATGCCTTCAATTGAAATGTGCTTTGAATTTTGGATTTTGATATTTTCCCAGGTTAATAATATGCCTCTTATGATGCTAGGGGAGAGACAGCCACCTGCAGCTTCTAGTCAGCCACAGGATCACAATGGTAAACAACCAATATTCTACAGTGCACTGTGTTGCTAAACTATAATGTTCAGTAGTTAGGTATATTAAATTTATTTTTGACATGATAATTTCAACTTATGATGAGTTTATAGGGAAGCAATCCTACCATTAGGATTATTGTCATATGAATATTTTTAAGATTTGTCCTTAGTGTGCTGTACATTGAGATTTAATGCTATAACTAGTACTCAAACAGTATTTTTCACTTTCTGTTTCTGTGTGGCAGCAAACTGTTGAAATCTTTACTTAATGTAAGCTAAACTGATCTTCTATATATAAAGAGAATCAAAAATGAATCTTGATGTGAATGGAAGGGGAAAGGGAGTGGATAAGGGGAGGGTTGCGGGGTGGGAGGGACGTTATGGGGGGGAAGCCATTGTAATCAATATTCTGTACTTTGGAAATTTATATTCATTAAATAAGAGTTTAAAAAAAAGATTTAATTATTTTTTGAAAGTCAGAGTTACAGAAAGCTTCTCTACTCGAGAGGTCCAGCGAGAGGGAGAGGGAGAGGGAGAGGGAGAGGGAGAGGGAGAGGGAGAGGGAAAGGGAGAAACAAACAGACACAGAGAGATCTTCTATCTACTGGATCACACACCAGATGGCCACAATGGCTGGAGCTTCATCTGGATTTTCCACATGGACAGTTACAGGGACCCAATCACTTGGGCCTTTTTCCACTACTTTTCCCAGCTTTACTAGATAGTCCACAATGCTGCATCCTGCCATATAAATTTTAAAACAGGTGTAACTCTCTATCATAAAGAATACAAGATAAAAAAATACAAGATGAGGAGACTTTTTCACATCTGAATTGAAGCTACTAATGGCTCACATATGAGGCTGCTGTGAGGATTCAGTCCATAGATGATGACACTTATACAGAGTAAGCTAATATTGCTGATTTTGAAACAAGGAAAATAAGGATTGAGAAGTAAAATGCTATCATGCCATCACATAGCTAATAAGGACTGAAGTCAGGAACAGTTGGGAGGACTATGTAACTATGCTTAGCTATCATTTGTTAGATCTATTTATCTGTTGGTCTCTTAGTGCACAACGTGGTTTGATTGTCCTCTCTGAAACTCATATTTATACCTAATCCCCACATTCATGTGAAAGCAGCATTTGCATGAAGGGATTTGGGTAGGTAATTGGGATAACACCAAGTCACCAGAGTAGGGATCCCATGATAGACCAGTGGATTTATAAGAGGAAGAAAAGGCCAGGAATTGTTGCATGGTGGGTTAAGCTGCCACCTACAATGCTGGAATTCCATATGGGTGCTAGTTCAAGTCCTGACTGCTCCACTTTTGATCCAGCTCCCTACTGATGGGTCTGGGAAAGCAATAGAAGATGGCCCAAATGCTTGGGCCCCTGTGCCCATGTGGGAGACTGGGAAAAAGCTCCTGACTCCTGGCCTGTCCCAGCCCTGGTCATTGCAACCACTTGGAGAGTGACGGAAAGTATCTCTCTGTCTCTCCTTCTCTCTCTGTAACTCTGTCTTTCAAATAAATAAATAAATCTCAAAAGAGGAAGAAGAAGAAAAAGTAGGAGGAGAATGAGGAGAAGGAGAGACCACAGCTGACATGATTGCTGTTTCCCTAGGTGATATTTTTTAAAGATTTATTTATTTATTTGACAGGCAGAGTTACAGAAGGAGAGGAGGGGGGGAGTCACAGAGAGAGAAATCTTCTATCCACTGGTTCATCTCCAAACGGCCGCAATGGTCGGAGCCGGACTGATCTGAAGCTAGGAGCCAGGAGCTTCTGAGTCTCCCACCCAGTGCAGGGGCTCAAGTACTTGGGTCATCTTCTGCTGCCTTCCCATATGCATCAGCAGGGAGCTGGATCAGAAGTGGAACAACTGGGACTCAAACTGGCGCCCATAAGGGATGCTGGCACTGCAGGTAGTGACTTAACCTGCTTCACCACAGAGCCTCCCTAGGTGATATTATATCATGATGCAAAAAGAAGGCCTTCACCAGGTGCTGAGCAGATGCTGACACCATGCTATTGGAGTTCTCAGTCTCCAGAAGTGGAAGCCAAAATAGACTCTCATTCTTTATAAATCGCTAAATCTCAGCTACTTTGTTGTAGCAACAGAAAATGAACTGATATAATGCTTAATGATGAAATATTAGTTTTAATTATCAAGGTCAAGATTTTAAAGTTTTCTCATTAAAAATATACAAAATACTGGTGAGAGTGAAAGAAGCTAGCCACATTTACATGCCGCTGTGAAGAATCTAAATTTGCATAATTTCTTGGGTGGGAAATTGAAAGATTATGCCCAAATTTCAAAAAAAACACAGAAGTTGACCCAGCAACTCCCCTACTTTATTTATAATTTTATTTTCAGCTTTTATACTACAAATAAGTGCAAAGAGATATTCATATTCATTGCAGCACTGGAGTAATAAAAACCCTGGAAACAGCATTAATAATCACCAAAGATGTATTGCTTTTAAAGTAAGATATGCTGCAGCCATTAAAAAGTGTCAGATCTATACTCTGCATCATATTACACTAAATAAAAGAGGTAAAATGAAAATATGTACAACATGTTTGCATTTGTGTGCAAACAATTGTAAGGATGTGTGCTTGGGTATTCTCACCTTCTTATCTATTCCTAGAAAATAACATAGGAAACAACAAGCGGGAGTTTCCTCTGAGGTTAAGAACAGCATGAA